TAATAGAAAAACATCAAGGTTAGAAAACTTTAGTACCTCTTAATTCAATTACTTATATTTATTGTATTCAAGGATGCATGTGTAATTTGACTATTTATAGAAAAATAAAAATATCAAGATATTCTTGCCCCGCTATATTGATTCTTCTATCATCAAAAATAACTTTTTATTTTACTATAATGAAAAATAATGAACTGACAAAAAATATCACCAATTAAATCTATAATAACTAATAAATTGTGTGAAAATACCAAAAAAAACCCTAACTCTAAGACAAATGTTTTTCTTTTTTTAAGACCATGGACGTCTCTTAACTATTTTAATGAATAGTAGATTGTTCATAAGGTTACACAGAAACCCCTTTTCTTTTTAGTTACTGTTTTCATTAGTTTTGTTATTATTATTATTATTATTATTATTACTATTAGTATCATTATTATTGCTATTATTATCACCACCACTATAACTATTATTATTATTATTATCATCATCATCATCATCATCATCATTATTACTACCACCACCACTTTATTCTTCATTATCATCATTATAATCACTACTAGCACCGTTATTATTATTATTATTATTGAAATAACAAAAAATATAAACTTAATTTAAAAAGTACTATTATTATTATTATTACCACAACCACTATTATTATTATTATTATTATTATTATTATTATTATTATTATTATTACCGCATCTTCTCCTTGAAAAAGAAAAACTTTATCATTCAATTATATTTGCATTTTTATTGTCTTGATATCAACATGTGCTATTTAGATTATATTTGTGAATAGTTACACCAGATATTTTTTTAGACCATTCCTATTATATTTTCATTACATATCTAATATAATCCTATTATATTTAATTAATAAACTACATCTAATACATTATATTATACTTTAAAACACGTAGAAAAAACACTATGTAGGTACTATATATATAGACTCATTGCACTATGGATCACATTATAGTACCTGTAGAACATTGTCTTTTCTGTTTATTAATCAAAAAGTGCTGCTGGATTTAGCTTGACTGCCAGATCTAAAACTATTGGATTTGACTTTCAGCCAAACCCATCAATTTTACATTTGGTTGGGTTACCAAATATTCTTAATTTTATTTTTTTTATTTTTAGATTTTTTTTCTTTTCTCTTATTGATTTTTTTTCATACAATAAAGAAGATATAAATTAATATGTACTATGTACATAGATTCATTATGCTATGGATCACACTATAAATATAGATTGTTTGCATTATGGACGACACTGGACTACCTGATGGGCATTGTTTTTTTTTTTTTAGTCAAAAAGTGTTATTGGGTCCGACTTGTAGCTAGATATTTCCATTTTTTTTTATCTCTTTAGATTTTTTATTTTTTTCTTATTTAATTGTTTTTTCATACAATAAAGAAAAAATAAATTGATGAGATTTTTTTATATTGTATAAAAGTTGGGTGATGATAAAAAAATATTATCTCAATATATTTTTTTTAAAATAATTATTATGTAATAAATAGCATATTAGTCCGCACTCCGCAGCAGGTCAATATAATTTTTTTTAAAATATAAAAAATACTTGAGTTGGATTAAAAACATGAAATGTATTTGCACCATCATCATCTTCAAATAAAGTATTTTCTACAGTAACATCATGAATAGCGCATAGCATAGCAACGCCCAATACACCGCCAACTAATTTCTTTTCCTTTAATTTTTTTCTTTTAAGATATTTTTAATTTTTTTTTCATCTTTGAACTTTTTTTCTTTTCTCTTATTGATTATTTTTCTCATACTGTAAAGAAAAAATAAATTGATGTGACTTTTTTATATTGTATAAAAGTTAGGCAATGACAATTTTTTTCCTTTGAGATTGGGTTGAATTTTTGTATTCAAGCATGTTTGTTTTTGCTTTTCAAAAATACTTTACATAATTTTTTCATTTTTTTCTTTAATTCAAATTAATATATTTTTTGATTTTTTATATTATTTTAATGCGATGATAAAAAAATCAAATTTATAAAATAAAAAATATTATCTCAATATATTTTTAAAAAATAATCATTACGTAATAATATAATAGCTAGCATATTAGCTCGCGATCTGTAGCTTTTTTTTTCAAATGTAAAAATACTTGAGTTGGATCAAAAAGCACAAAATGTATTTGCACTATCACTATTTTCAAATAAAGTATTTTTCATAGTAGCACCATATATAGCGCAAAGCAAAGCAACGCTCAATATATTAGCAACTAATTTTTTTCCTTTTAAGATATTTTTAATTTTATTTTTTTTCCTATTTTATTTTTTTTCTTTTCTCATATTGAATTTTTTTTCATTGTAAAAAGAAAATAAATTGATGTAACTTTTTAAATATTATACAGAAGTTAAGTGATGATAATTATTTTTTATTTTAAGTTGGGTTGAGTTTTCTTATTAGAGCATGTTTGTTTTTGCGTTGCTTTAAAAAAAAATATTTGTTTCTTACTTTAAATTAATATTTTTTTTTAATTTTTTAATATTATTTTGATGTGTTGATATAAAAAATAAAATTTTAAAAATAAAATTAATATTATCTCAATATATTTTTTTTTAAAATAGTATTGTCGACATAAATTCATTGCACTGTGAACCACACAGTAGATATAGAGTGCTTGCACTGTGAATGATACTTGATGCACTTGTAGCTATCGTCTTTTCTGTTTATTAGTCAAAAAGTTATGTTGGATCTAGCATGACTGCTAGACTCAACTTTATTGGGTCTGGCTATGAGGCAGACTCAAGGCTATTAGATCTCGCTAAGTCACCATATATTTTTAATTTTTTTTCTCTTTAGAATTTTTTTTATTTTCTCTTATTTAATTTTTTTATATTAATAAGAGAAAATAAAATGATGACTTTTTTTTATATTGCACACAAGTTGGATGATGATAATTTTTTTTTCATTTGAGATGAGGTTGAATTTTCTTATTCAAACATGTTTGTTTTTGTCTTTTAAAAATGCTTTAAAAAAATTTGAATTTTTTTTATTTTTTCCTTTAATTGAAATTATTATTTTTGATGTTTTTGTATTAATTAAAATTAATATTTTTGATATTTTTGTATTATTTTGATGTGATAATATAAAAAATCAATTTAAAAAAAATATTATCTCAATATATTTTAAAAAATAACCATTAAATAATAATATAATAGTTAGTATATTGACCCGTGCTTTTCAGCAGGTCAATAATAATTATTTTTTAAATATAAAAATAATTGAGTTGGGATAAAAATACAAAATGTATTTGTACCATCATCATATTGGGAAGTTATGGTATAATGAATAATACCATTGTTAGATAAACAGGATATTAAAGTGATGAATTTGCCACCATTGTCAGAATATAACGACTTTATCTTTGTTTTAAATCATGTTTTGATAAATTTTTTGAATTGTGAAAAGATCTTTGAGATATCAAACTTGTTGATCATGGGATAAAACTAGATATATCTACTAAAATCATCTACAAAAATGAGATAGTAGCAGGAACCATTTGGTTTGTTAAAACATCTTGTAGATTAGCTGCCATTTATACTTTGTTTCATTCGATTTGTGTAATTTCTAGAGATCACTAGCTACTATGTTGCAGCTTCTAAGCAATCTAAATAGGTTTCATAACCTATTAGGAGATCATGAAATTCTTCAAAAGTCAATGAGTTTTCTCGTGCACAAATGAGAGCAACAATCTCCCTGAAATCAGCCCTTAATCTATGTAGAAAGTGGAGTGTGAGGTCATCATCCGAGAGTGGCTGATCAATGATGGCAATTTCACCTGCCAGTGTCTTTACATGCAAATAACCAATGATTGATCTATTTCTGCATTGAATTAATGTAAGTTTCTTCTTTAGTTGCATGACCCTAGTTTTGGAACGACTAGCATAAAGAGTATGAAGTTTCTCTCAAGCTGGATGAGATGTTTTTGCAGTAGTTATAAGTGGGGTGATCTTACTTGATGTAAAGGCTAGGATGAGGCCAAGGATGAGTTTATCCTATTTGACCTGGTATGTTTTATTTAGGTTTACAAAGGGGTTGAGATCAATCAAGGGACAAGGAATGTCACCATTTATGTAGTCAAGTAGATCGTAGTCAATCAATAGTGCTTCAAATTAAGCATGCCACTAAAAAAAGTTAGATGGAGTTAATTTTCATTGATTTGGACAGTGATATTTAGAGCAATTAGATACTTGCTAGAGTTAAAAGAAGGAATGTGCTGGGGTTGAGATTTTGGTTTTGATATGAAGGAGAAGACATGGTAGGATTTGAATTGTTCTCGTGGGAGATTTCAGACTCTGGCATTATATAGAGCATTAAAACTAATACGCTTTCAATGAATTAACTCTTCTTACCTTATTCAAACGTTTACATAAGATATGTGACACACACTGGTAATGCATTGGTTATAAAAATCCAGTGTAGATAGAACTTTTGGTAAAACTAATCCTTAAGATAAATTGTACCAGTATAGAATTGCATCAGGTTTTAAGTAGTTTGAATGGAGGTGAGAGATTCTCTTGGATTTCCAGCGTTATCTTTATTTATTATATACCCTTTTTATTTTATTTTAAGTATAATTAATTTTATTATTAGTATGTATGCTAAGTTTTTTATTTTTTTATATCAATTGCAAATCTAAATATATATAGGTAGCATGCATGCTACTATTATATTATTATTTTTATATTGAAAACATGTTTGCTATTAATTATGCTTTTGTATTCTCAAGGATTTAAACTTGTATCTCCGGGCTTCCATTGAAACAATTCAACATGTCTTGTTATGATAAGTTAAAAATACTTGCTTATTAGTCTATAATTAATTAATATATATATATATATATATATATATATATATATTTCTTAACTAAGATGTAGGGATTCCTAATTATTATTACCCTCTCGAATACTATTTTTATGCATTTTTGGGTTTGCTTTTGTTTGATGTGTCACTGCTAATAGTAATTGAAATGATGTGAACTAAATTAAACCCTTCTTCTACAGAAAGAAAAGCGAAAATGGAAATGTGATGGTCTAAATTTATCTGCAACCTGTCTCTACTTTTGCCACGGCTATGACCTGATACACTTTTGTTGTTCTTCTTGGCATTCATCCTGCTTCCAGAGCTTCCTCCTCCTCTAGATTCCTCCTCCTCTATTTGTTCTCTCACCACCTTTTTTTCCTGCTTCCAGCGGCGTCCTTTTGTCAGGTCTCTTCAGTTTTTGATCATCTCTTGTACTGCTTTCGGACGTTGCTGGAGTTCTCGGTATTCCATCTGATCGGATGGTCTGTTCATAGGAGCCTAATTGTAGCTTACTTAGCTCGTCCCTTAATATCGGTATCTGTTTCCCTCTGGATAGTAGAAGCTCCTGTGTTGGCATTCTATGATCATTTTCCCTTGAGCCTTTCTCTTGTTCAAAGAACAGGACTTGCACAACTGTTCTTAATGGTAGCCGCTCATTCTTTACAGCGTGAGTACGTACTTCTGGTGACAGTTTTTGGCAGTCTAGTTTCCTGCAGAGACGCTTCTTGTCTGCCTTGCTTAGATCAGGATGCTTCTGTTTTAATTGAAGACAAAAAAGCATGAATAGAGCATGATAAATAAAACATGAAGAGCATTAGAGCATGAAAATTATTGAGTTGCTGAACAGGACTTGAGCTTTTTATCTTGGTAACGTTTATTGCATATAATTGTTTTACCTTGAGATAAATGTTTATTGCCCTGTAAAGGTCATCATGATCTTTCCTGGCAATATCTGGTAAAGCTTCTGCAACAGATAAAACTTTTGATACCGGCAAGTTGATATCTGTGGCAACTGCTTGAAGGTAAGAGTCAACAAGCTTTCCAATCTTTCTAATTGATCTCATAAACTGGGTGTTTTCTGTAGGTGCTGGTGATGTTCTTCTCCATAGCAGCAGGAAGCTTTCTAGCACTGCCGCAACCAAGTCAATATCATAATAATATTGATTAGAGGATGAATGTGAAGGAAATAACAGGTCACTAACTGTTGCCTCCTCTAACTGCTGGCTTGATCTCCTTATAAGTTCTGTCTTTGTAACTGTAGATGCGCCTAGGTAGTTAGCAATGCTAAGAAGTCTTAACAAGAAACCAACTGAAACGGACCCTTTATCTGATGGGATCTTATTCACGATGATTTCAAGAATTTTCCGATGCTTATCTGTAACCTCATCAGTCTGAGACACTGAGCTCTCTGGACGTGTGATCTTTGTAGTGTCTGGTAGCCAACGACAGGCATAAACATGCAAAGCTTCACCAATGAGCTGCGGTGGGAGCATATGTGTTGATTTAATAGCTATAATTATGCACCGGAAAAGGTCTATGTCAAGATCAGATATGTCCTCTGTCCACCAATCCTTCGGAACCAATTGCTGCTGCTTGTTGAACCCTAATCTAGTGTAAGTGTAGGACCATGTGACCTGCAAAGAAAGATGATTTTCCTGAAAAGATTTAGTAATCTAAAGAACAGTTCTGTAATTGTTTATGTAAGGTATTTGTTAACCTTTGCAGGGGGTGTGAGGATTTTTCCAACAATTGAATCAATGCATCTTCTGATGATTCCCAGGTTCTCTGACCACTCAGTTAGCTTGACTGTTGTCTGTAATGTGATAATGGAGTCCTTCCAACCTACTAGAATGCAGGAATTAAAGAAGGCCTCAAGTTTAAGGACAAAATTTCCCTTCTCAACAGCTTCTGTCATTCGAAGGAACTTTGCAGCACAAAATGCAGATACAAAGTTATGAGCACTGAGATTGATTGTTATTCCATAGCAATATTTAGCACACAGCTCAAAAGCATCTTCCCCTCCAGGAATATCATGCAGCTGTATGGTAACAGCACTTGAATCATCAGAATCTGCACACAGCCTTTGTAAGAGGCCACACTTCGGTAATAGTGAAAACTGCAGCTAAGAACAGTAAAACTAATAAGAATCTAAGTCATCGTGGATGAATTTAAGGTTCGGAAAATCAAGAAACGTAGATTAAATAGTGAAATTGTATTTTACATGCCCTGGCCAAATCATACCTGATGAAGAAGATAATTGATGTTGCTGATTTGTATAACAAGGTCATTAGGTATATCTGATACCACAGACCTGCAATTCAAAAGTACTAACATGACTAAATACAACTCACATATGATACATGCAACTTTAATCTAATAGAATTTAGCAATCGATCAGCATACCTGGTAGCCTCTTCTGTGTAGAAGGTATCGGGCCGCGTCCCGAGTTTCATAAACTTCATTTTCGCAATTTTCTTTTCCTTTAATCAAAAGACAGTGAGAGATTTTAACTTCAGAACAATGGAGCATGCCCTTATGAGATCTTGCCTGAAAGAAATCCAGGATGTGTTTATATATAATTTAGTAAACAGAAAACTACCCCGTGATTAACCATAGTAATTTGTACATGAATTTTGTATATCAAACAATATTAACAAATGCAATCTATGTATTCATTGTGTACTTCAATTAGTACCAGCAGCAATGGTGATTCATGAATTCTAATTTATTTTTTGGTCAGAACAGATACTAAATGAAATGTATTAAAAGGAAGGGCATGATACACAGAAGGCCAGAAACTTGGCTAAAAAAGAAAATCTCTTTATATATCTTTTCTCTTTCAATAATGTTAATTACTTCTCTGCTGAATAATTCCCATCTTCACTTGCTGCTGCCTAGAATTAAAATTGGGAAAATCAAACCTGATAAAAATGTTGGGAAAATGTCAAAAAAAAAAATATAGTAGAAAAAAAGTAAGGAAAAAAAATATTAATTTTCAAAACATATTGAAGTGAATTGGTAAAAAGAAAATCTAAGGGGAAATTGCAAAATATGATTGGATTAAACATGCAAATAGTCACTAATTAAGGGAAAATCTAGAGTTTTTAGGACATACTCACAATGATTGACAGGGCACAAGGGCAGTAATCTAACAACTTCATCAGCTCATAAATAAACATTTAATTTTGAGAAAAAGATTCATCACCATGCAGTGGCTTCACAGTTATGGCCAAAATTATCAAAAACATGAGGAAGAAAAGCAGAAGAAACTGAGATGGTGGAAGAAGAAAGGATCACAATTCATGAAAGACATGTCAATCCACATAACTGTACAGCTTTAGCATGCAAAAGTGTTAAACACAGAGAGTTGAACACTTTTAAAATGTAATTGGCATGTAGGCCTTACCTCACCTAACCTAACCTTTTTAATCCAACAAGGGCCCCATCATATTCAACATTTTTCTGTATAGAACCCTACAAGACAAGCCCTTTAACAACAGAAGAAGAGGACGGTGCTGTCAGGCTCTTAGAGAGAAGAGGATGGTGCTAGAAGAAGAATCTTTACAGGAAACAGAAGCAGTTTCTTTGACACCCTAAATCACGCAAAACTTTCTCTAGTTTATATCTGTCAGGTCCATTAAAAGTTAATTTGGTGGTTGAAGTTGATTAAATGCTTAATCAGCAAGGCAAGAACTCTCACTGGTTTACAAGTTTAGGCATGGGATTTTGTACTTGTTGTGCTAAAATGCTGACAGATATACCTCATAAGAGACTGAAATATCTGATTTGGCAGAATCCAAAATCCCTTTAAGCAGTAAATGTGTCCTCAGCAATTACCTCACCAACCACACCAGTGCCCACGCAAACATGGTAACCTTATATACTATAAAACAAAATAACTATATACAGGTATATTAACAGATGTATTCAAGTGGTCTCGATGCATGAAAATTGATCGATTATATTCCCAGCAAGTAAACTTTGTAGCTGTAATATTGTAGGCATGTGGCAAATGGAAGATCCTAAAGATTGATGGAAAAACACTAAAGTTTCAACTCAGAATAACATTCCATGTCAAAAGGAGATGCTAGATAATTTCATCTGACAAACCACTTGGAGGGCAAACAATAACACTCCAACTCATAATCATGCTTGGAATTTGAAAGGTTGAGCAAATACCTACCGTAACTATGATGATGTTTGATGGCTCCTAATTACATTTCCTAAGCATGTCTTCCAACTAGTTTAGGAAATGAAAAAATGAAGTGATTCTTGACCTTTTATGGCTTGCAACCCAATCAAAGCATATAGTCCATACATAATGGAGTTGTGTGTATAGCCACTTCGGGGGTGCTTTCCTTTTCTTATCTCCAGGAAGTATAGACAGAGCTACAAGTATTGGCGGTACTGGTTCTTTACTCTTTGATGCAGAAGGCCAATTTGTAGGCAAAAAGTTTCTTTTTCCTTGCTTAAAAACAGGTTGATTGTCGGCGGATGAGTAATAAATAGATTTCCATTATAACCAATTTGAGTGAGAAGTAAATTTCTGAATCTGTTTAAACCTGGGAATTAAATAAAAGATTCCTTTGCCTTGGTTTCTTTATAGGGGTAATAACATAGAACATTAAATCTCACACCAACCCTGTTCTTGCAGTAGTTGACCACTCAATTGCTCTAGAGCATCTCACAGTAAAGCAAGAGGAGGATAGGCTCAACTGATCAACAGCTCAGGGAATTAAAATTGATGGCAAGAAAAAAAACAGTGTTACTTAGCTTAATTGATATGAAATGATTCTGCCATGTATAATTTGGTGACATGAAGTCAGGAAGATAGACAGACACTGCATGCAATCAAATCTCTTCAAACCATATCTTATGTGAAACATGGATGGCATCTAGGAAGAAAGAGACATGAACTTCCATCATAATGAAATAAAAGTAACTGTGGTCACTATGACTTGGAGACTCGATTTAATTTTCTCTAGGCAGACAACTACTACACAATCTAAGTTTACTACACAATCTAAGTTGATATGCTTTTGTTTATCTTTCCTATTCTGCAGCAGCCCAAATATCTCAGTGTCCCTTAGGCAATTGAAGTATTACGCCTAACATAAGCTGAACAGATGGGGAGTGGACCAGTTTTTGTGATTTCCTCCATTAAAATAAGAACATGATTTCCCCCATAAAAATAAGAACATGATTTCCCTATCCCTCCTCATCTAGAAAGAAAAAACTGTACCTTTAGGTATTGGTGGTCCAGATAGAATGCGATGTTGGTCCTGGTGCTTTTAAAGATTGGTTGAAATCTAACATAGTGGTCTGCAGCAACAGGTGGTGGTGAAAAGAGAAACACGGTGGTAATGTAGCTCAACACCAAGCTACTTGAAGCCAAAAAGCCCTTAAGAGCTTTCTCTTCTAAACACTACATAATAACATCAACGATGAAGAATAATAAAAAAGAAATGCTCATGTCAATTCAGAATCATTAATTGACATTCAAAATTTTTTCCTTCCGCTATGATACTCCATTTACCTACTTCTGCTAACAATCCCTTTCAAAATTGATAAAGGAATTTGTCCACAAGGTCCCAGAAGGTTTTCCGTAAGGTCCCAGAAGATTTTATAATTTTCTCCTTGTCCATATTCTATTGGAATTATTTTATTCATAGCATACAGTAAAGCTTCTTTTTCCATATATATTTTTTTATCCTCTAGCTAACCAAAGTGTGATAGAATCTCTAAAATCTGCATATAAACAAAAAAGCACCTTGAGCTAGCTTTTGTGCTTTGGCTATTGAGTGGGGGACAATAATAACGAGTCAAGCAGATTTCTGTCAATCAAATCACCCCGATTTTTCCCATTTTACCAACTTAATTATCTACCACTGTATATCATCACCATCATCATCATCAATGAGACTGGACCAAAGCTAAAACACACGCACAATTGTTCACGTAATGAAGACGGAAGCATATGTAAGCAAATATCAAGAAGAGTGAACATACCACAGTCCACAAGTAGTTGTTCGATTTCAAGCGAGCAGCAGCAGAACCCTTAATTGCACAAGTGATGAAAAGCTGAAGATTCAACACTCTTCCAACTTGGATTGACAATTGATAAAGGAAGCAAAGACAGCAGTACCATGGAAACATAAATCAGGAACAAACAGGTGCCCATCAATGTACATAAACATGAGAAGCAGATATATATGTGACATTCAAGAAATGACTTGAAGGCTTCATGCATGTAATCCTGCTGGCTAAAGGGAGACGAGGAGGTTGTGGTACTGCGGGTTTCTGTTAACTCAACTAGCAAGACAACACACTCGCAACAACTACAACAAGAGAGAAGAAAATGAGTCTCTCTCCTTCCTTTCTATGTCTCACTTCACCAAGACTAGGGGAGGATAGAGAGAGGGGGTGGTTGATTGAGATTAGTCAGCATGGTAGTGTATCAAAAGCATCTTATATGTGGTAGAAGGTTTAGGAAAAAGCAAATTGAGGGAGCAAACAGGAGATAGCAGTCACCTTTTCTTATGCTGGAAATTGGTGCTGTATGATTAATCTCTCGGAAAGCATGCAAAATGCAAGTGGACAATGCTTATAGCAACCAAAAAAAGAGTGCTTCTCCTATCACTTTTAAGAGATTTAACCAATTATGGTTTGGTTTTGCCTCGTGGTTAAGAACCTCAAGGGAGATAAATTCTCATGAATATTTGAAAGAGAAGTGGATTGAATTTTACGTTGTTTCTACACTTTATAATTTTGTTTGAGAATGTCTGTGTTTGATTTCAGATGCTTGGACATAATTATGAATTTGTTAAACCTCTAATCACATTAAACAATCATATCCTAGCAACATGGATCGAATTTCTGCACATGAAAATTAATCTTAAAAGAACGTGAAGCCGAGATATGTATAGTTTTAAAATTCAAATGGGGAGTCGAATTGATGTAAGGTTTCGAATACGGATTAAGAAGTTAAATTTAAAACAGATAAAATCCACGAGTTCTTGACCGAATAAAGAGAGTTTTTTTATTTCTCCTTCAACTGCGGTCCCTTTTTAAAACAATGGAAATATATATATATATATATATATAAAAGTCTTACAAGTGGGACCAAGCAAAGCCAGAAGGATCCACTGTGCTATTCGTCATCATGCTCCTCTCCACTAGCTAGCTTAATGATATTCTCTTCTTTCATCTAGTCCTTGCCTTGATTTGCATGTCGGCCACGTGTGCAGTCCTTATGCCGTTGGATTTCTCTGGTTCCTCTAGCAGCCGGTGAGGACGATAGGATTTGCCCGCACTGCACTGTTGGAGGCCGAACACCAGACAAGCGGTTCTCTTCGGTCTTCAAGGCCACCATTAATCTGCTGCTTAGCATTTCACGTGTGCTCGCGTCAATCCCTTCTCCTCTTTTTGTTGCTTTGATTTAAAAAAGATTGTGTTTTTTTGGATCCATCTTCTTTACTCCATTCACCACTCCATGTCCTTACAAGGGGAGGAGGGAAAGTCGAAGAGGTGGATGTGATGTCTTAACTGTTAAGATGCTTTGTATGGTTGTGTTTTGTCTTTAGAACTCGATCGATCTTGATTAAAAAGAAATATATTTTATCACTTTTCTTAACCAAATGATAACAGTAAAAGCTACAGAAACACAAAATAATACACTTTGGTCTTTAATTTGGAGATCAATGTGGATGATGTCATGACAAGACAGATGATAGACGAGCCTAATCAATTGCATGTTTACCACCACCATCATCATCATCCTTGATTACTTTTCAGTTTTGAAAAGGGCAGCAAGCTAACCGACCATCTGACTTTGTGCTACAAAGTAGCTGATGTTTATCCCCTTGACCCTCTCTTAACCATTCCTTCGTGTGCTTTCTGTTAACGATTAATAAATTTTTTTTTTCAAAAAGGAATTTTACTGTATTTGTTTTTTATTTTCTTTTTAAAATTATTATTTTTTAATTCCGATTCCATATTTAACATTATTATATTTATTAAGGGTTTATTTTTATATTTTTTATAAGATTATTTCGATGAGTTAATTTAAATTTTTTAATTAATTTTTTTATTTTAATTTGATCCTTCGATGTTCATTTTATTATAAATTAAGTTTATTAAATTATTTTGACTTATTTTCTATAAAATTATTCGCATATCATGACTCGAGTCATGGATTTAATGAGTTAATCTAAATTGACTAAAATTATTTTTTAATTGATTTTTTAATTTTAATTTTTTCTTTTAACATTTGATTTATTAGGGGTTAAGCCTTAAAAAAATATTAGTTTAATTTTGTTAAGGTTATCTTAGTGTTATGGTTCAAACTGTAAATTTAACTTGAGTTTTTTATGTGTTTTTTAATTTATTTATTTTTCAATTTTATTTTTCAAAATGAGTTTGATTGATAATTAAATTTTATAATTTGTTTTAATTTTTTTCAACTTAGTTATTCTGATCTTATGAATCGGGTCATGAATTTGGTAGGTTAACTTGGATTAACTTGGACTATTTTTTAATTAGATTTTTTTAATTTTATTATTCAATATTAAGTTTATTAAAAACTCGGTTTCATAATTTATTTTAGCTTGCTTTTTTTATGTTATTATGGTCTTTGAATTGGTAAGTTATCTCAGATTAACCCAAATCAATCTAATATATTATTGTTTTAATATTTATAAAAAAAAATTATTTTAAATATTTATTTTGAATCAAATTATATTTTTATATCGGTCATTTAAATTATCTTTAGACTCATTTAATCAATTGGATCACATCATATAAATCTCTACACAATTTAAATTTATTTTTACTAAAAAAATATTAATAACACCCAATTTTTTTCACATTAAAAAAAATAAATTTAACCAACAACATACTGCTCCGGCCAATGATCTAATTTACTATCCATAATGCTAATTATACGAAGCAGTGTGACTTAAATTCTTTTTGCTTGCCTAATGACCTTTTATTGATTATGTAACCTTGGATGAATTAATTCAACATCCATCCTTAATTATATATAAGCTTTTTAGATTAATTTTAATTTGTGATATATGATAGAAGTGGCCGGAAAAAAAATAAAAAAACGGAAGCTAAGAACACGACGTATGGTTTTAGAAATACAGAAATATAAAATAAATTTGTTTTTAGTATAATTTTAAAGTAAATTTCTATTATTTTAAAACTATAAATATGAAAAAAAACACGTATCCTTTATCCCATGTGTTTCCATTGTCTTCGTTGAGCTTCGACTTGTGAACTAATTTTCATGTGCTAAAATCAAATTCAACTTTGATAAAGAGAAGCTATAATATAGAAATTAAGGGAATCTAGTAAGTTTTGGTAAAAATGTAGAAATTGCACCCAAAAATATTACTGGTATATGATTCAAATTCCTATGATCTATGAAGGAGATAAAGTAATTAAACTCCTTTCTTCAAGTTCAAGATAGATGGAATACAAGGTTTTGTTAAAGTGACCCGTCCTTTTCTCGTTGCAGGATAAAGTAGTAGTCATGGATCGAACTTCTACTCATGAGAGAATCTGCCAAGCTTGTCATTTCAACAACTTGGATCCATTGATTTTTAGCTTACCATGTCGGCAGCAAAACATGATGCCAAGGCTAGGTTTAGGGCGTCCATGGCAGAGTTTCTGTGTTAGGGTGTGTGTGGCAGAGTTTCATTGATAGCAAACATGAATCATGGATGTATTATGAATAAGAAAAACCTTTAAAAAAGAAGATAGAACATCCATGGAGAGAACATGATAACAAGGACAATCGAGGAAGTTCTGCAAACCTCGGTTTCAATGAAAGGTTAGGCAGGGGAATTAGGTACATGCCACTCGTCAATCTCCACCCGATACCATATGGCCCTACAATATTGTCCCGGAGAGTAGAAGAGGAACCCCTTTTTCTCACATTTGGGCAGCCAAGATTGGTCGATGCCACCGCATGGTCTTCTATTATGGCAAGCGAGCCAAACATTCATCGAGTCCATGGTGGCAAGTCAGCTTTGCATCTCTTGCTCACCGTTGAATTTTGAATGCCATGCCATGTCTGTGCATCCAAGAGCAATACTCTCCTGTTTTAGTTTCTAACATTCTTTCAGAAGAAAAGGACGTGATGATGAATATTGTTTGTGGGATCATCCACGGAGGCTTTTCAGTCTATTGCCCTGAAAAATGAATGCTGGCTCTGGGCTATTGCTCCTTGCTCTAAGCAATAGCCAGAAAAAACACTTGGTATAATTAGATTGGCTTTCTGCAGGAAATTGTGGAGATACTTTCCTTTGAGAGTAAAAACAAAGCTGTCAATTACTCAAGTTTTTGGAACATCCATTTTCAGGAGCTAAAACAATTATTACTATATACGATAAGATGATGCAAACCAATATATTTTAAGTGGAAACTATAATGGCATCCAGAAAGTAGTGCTGCACAGCAATCTCTTTTTTTTCTCCCTTCAACGGACTCTCGAGTCGAGATGATGATAACATTCACAGTAAAGTCAATAAAATGCTTTCATAGCACTCGGAATCACTCTTATGTCATTTTCATGCTTTATCTTCTTTGAGTTCAGGATGTGATCACTGCTCTAAAATTTGGAGAAAAAAAGAGAAGCATTGAGCTTGAGTTTTACTTGAGATATTGAAGAGAGTAGCAAAGAAAATTAAAATTCTTCAATCTTCTGACCTTAGGATGAATTAGTTAACCCTAGATTTTGTGCTCATCACGAAAAGGAGCTACACTGTAGTCTATCCATACCTTATTCAATATAAATCCCGTGGTGCCAATTTGTTGCATGGACATCACTGAAATGAGAACATGAGGAAAATGACGGTTGAGGAAGCCCAAGTTGTTTCGGGAGAGAGAAGATTTTTCTACTGTCAGTACCTTTGCCAAATTATCATGAGCTTCATAGCACCAATATGCATAGTGCAAGCACATCAAGTAGGAGATGAATCACCACGGAAGAGTTTGATAAGCAGGTAAAAAACTGGCCGTGACTTCATTCTACTCCATTTCCTCTAGGTTAACACTAGTTTGAAGGCTAAAAGGTGCAAGTGAGTTACAAAATATAGCCCAAATGAGCAGTTGCCATTACACAGAATAAAAAAATTGCTGGTAAAATACAACAAAATTTCCAAATTACATGGGAAACAATGGCCTCTAATGGTTATTACCTTGGGACATGGTGTGGCAACAATGTGCTCTCTTGACTTCAACTAGTCACCAAATAAGTCGTCGTCATCGTCGTTGTAAACACTCAAGTTATTTTGAAGATTTCCACTCAAAGAAACAGTGGCATTCCCTTGGCCATCTTTAGTCGGAGAACCTGCATTACCAGCAGAACTATCAGAAGAATATGCCCAGGAAGAACCCACTTTTCCAGCAAATGATTCTCCATAAAGGTCATCATACATCCCAATTTTTGGAGCAGCTTTAACCTTATTCAAGACTTGTTGCAATTTACTAGTGACACCTTTTTGTGAAGCATTGTTTTCCTTTGCTGAGAATTGTTCCTTACCTTTGGGTATTACAGTAACCTGTACAAGAGATTCATATTTTCCAACAAGACTTCCTTCTTTTACACCTATCGGACCAGGCTCTGTTTCTACATCTGCACCATCTGAAGTACCAACAACTTCAACCAGCTCACCCCCAACTTGATCCCTGAAAACAACCCTTGCTTTCTTGATTCTCTTAGCAGCTCTCTCCAATTGCAGGTCATCATGTCTTTTGCTTAATGAATCACTGGATTCACTTGATTTAGTTGATAGATCAGACTTATTTAGACCGTAACGATTTAAAAAAGTATTATATGCTACAACAGCTTCTTCATCAGATGGATCAGGAGGTGGTGGTATGTTAATATCTGAGGGTGGTGGAGGATGAGGAAAAAGAGCTGCATCATTCTTTCTCAGGATATAAGTTCGTGTTGATGCAGCAAACCGCAAAGACTGCCCCACTTCCAGCTCAACAGGGGTATCTTTGGTCAACCGCTCATTTGCCACAAATGTTCCATGTGCAGAGCCCAAATCAATCACAAATATGCTGCAGAAGATGAGAAGCACAGGAGTTACAAAACCTGTGAGCTTAAGAAAGCTATGATGAACATTACTGGAGTGACAATCCAGATCATTTAGCTCTAAACCTTCTCCAAAATTGACTTTAGCTTCACATTCCCAATCCTTAAATGAGAAACATCTTAACTGAAACAGATACCAATAGGAAATACCAATCTAGTTTCCATTTCACAGTTAAAATTAGTACTTATTATTTGTTTCTATTTTGCTATCATTATTATCTTGTCCATGCCATACTTGTACCTAACTACATGACTGTACCCGAGCTGATCAATCAACTCTTAGTGAAAGAACCATCATATTCAGCACACTCATGCTTAATACAGGAACATCATAGCCTATAACATCTATGATGATGACAATTGTAAGAAAAATCACAATGATGTTCAAAGGCAGATATTATACAGAACTAAAACAAGAGGCCAAGCAAAGCAGCATCAATAAAAACTAGAGCAAGGATCTAACCCTCCATTCTTGTGAGGAATTACAACAGCATGTTGGCGTGAAACAGACTGATGATCAAGCACAAAATCACAAGTAGGAATTTGCCTCCCAAATATATGCC